CAATGAAATGTTTAGCTATATATATATATAGCAACCTCGTTTGAGTTTGATGTTTTTGAGATTAAAGTCAGTGGTTGGTCTTGTGTTGTTGTATGACTATTGTGTCAATGCCGACCTTGGTCACCCTTGCTTTTGTATCTCTTTCAGTACTCTTCTTTTTATGAGTAATCAATAATAAAAGAATTTGATTTGGCTTTACTTTTTCTTTTATTCGTTCATTTTTGTTGAGTCAATTTTGCTTCTATATGGTTATACCATGAAGTATATACTTTGATATATATGATTGTAATCTGTAAGAGACACTTATGTATCTACACTCTGTAATTGAGCAATTTACTTCTGATCCACAAAATTTGTAAATTAGTAAACTCTTAAAATGATACTAGTATGTTAACATATTCAAGTCGACACTCCCACACGTAATTTTTGTCCGCAATATTTTAAACCCGAATCATATTCCGTAACATTCAAAAAGGTTAAACTACCAAATAATTGACAGCAAAATCTATTGTTTATGGGACGATTAAACAAAATGAAATTTGTACAAGGTTTAAACTGTAAGCTCACAACGCAAACAAATTACTCCAATGAATCCAGAAACCAGATTTGAGAGTGGTAAGAAGCGTAAAAAAAAAAAACACGAAAAAGTAAAAAGAAGTCGCATCAGATGACCATAGAGTAGAGGGAACGATGTTATGACCACAAATCTTACTGTTGTTTCGGACCATCGTTCTCTTGAATGGTATTCACAGGTGTGGAGGAGCCACTACGTTTACTGGACTGACCTGTAATTGTCCTACCCATGAATCTCCCTGCTTTGCTCAATCCGCTACCGACAGCTCCAAAGCCGCTACCAACCATCCCAACACCCGAGCTCACTCCGGTCCCAACCAACCCGACTCCTGCACCAATCCCGGTCCCAACCATTCCTACACCAGTACCGAGCCCGCTACCAACCATCCCAACTGCATCCATTGTGCTACCTATCACTCCTGCTTCCTTCAGTCTCTTTCTTTCTTCCATGATCTTCTTCTCCTCTTCTAATGCAGCCATTTGCTCCTCTTTGTTGAACTCATGATAATGTACCTTCCAACAAATAAAAATTTAGAAAAATGAAGTCAATCCAGGAACTGGCGGAAATTGAAATTTTTTGTGGTTTATGCATGGGATTATCTACCTTAAGGGTTATACTTCCTCTGTCTTTCTTATCTTTTACTTTCAAAGTATCAAGTGAAGACAACAGATTTAGCTCCATTTCCTTTGTAACCCCGGCTTCCAAACTGCTCAAAGGAAGTTTCACAAGTCCTAGACGCTCGTCTTGGCCTACGTCTTTATCAAATACCTGTCAAAAGATTAGAACGAAGAGAATGGTTAATTTTTGCAACAAAAAAGTTGAACAAGTATGAGGGATAGTTGTTTGAGATTGCAAACCTCTACAGTGATCGATTGGGTTTCTTTGTCCTCCGCAATCAATTCGAATGTTTGGTCCCAAACAGGATTCAGGTTGTTCTCGATTGCCTTTGTTTTATACTTGAATACAGGACGAATGTGAATGGTGGCATAAGGGTCAGATTTCCCAATCAATTCCTTGTTCTTCAAGTTTGTTGCTTTCATTACTGTTACTATAAGCTTCCCCTGTGGCTTAAGCTCTAAATCACTGTGAAAGGGAAAAGATATAGAGAATCGTCAAACTATGAAATGCATTCTCAATATGGCAATATTAGAAGAGAAGAAAGGACAAAAGATTGGCAATGGCAGGCAGAATGTTTATAAGTGAAAAAAATGCAAAACACAGGATAGTACCTGAGATCAACAGGAATACCACCAATGGGAACAACAATTCTATGAGGCCACTGAAGCATGTCTTTGACAATAGTATCAACGGTGTCCTGACAGAAACAAAAGCATAAAGCTGTGCATCAGAACAAATGAGAAAACAAATACAACCTCTGGAATCTGCTTAGACCTACCAAGAGAAGAACTTACATCAATCATATCAGATAGTCCAGGAACTGCAGTCAAGCTTCCACCAACAGCCTTCAGAGTGTAATCAATTCTCGGTTTTGGCTGGTTGAGAAAAAGTTTGCCATTGTCAGATAGGAGAGATGATAGAGAAAAATGCATTTGATTCTGGGTCTTTAAAGGAATAAAATGTACCTCAGCAAGTAGAGCAACAACAACAGCAGATATGCAAGGAATCTCATCCGCAAGTTGAAAGATAACACGCGCAACTGTGAAAACTTGAAGATCCTTCAACTGTTTCAGCCAGAAACAAGTGTTAGTCGAGATTCAATCTCTACTGGGAAATAATACTCAAGGTACAATCAGATGTATTAATCTTTATAATAGACAACCCAAACAAGAAGTACTAAAATATAGCTCTATTAACCTGAATGGGTATGGAAGCAACAAGTGCTGCTGTAACACCTAAAACAATATTTGGATCCCCACCCCATCGAAGATCAACGTCCATAGTGATTTGACCTTCCTTGAAACTTTGAACACGAATACCTGCAGCAATGATTAATAATGCATGTGTAAAGGCTTACAGCAAAAATGCCATATAAGATAAAATGCATAATATTCTTCCAAGCACAAGGACTTATTATCACTTGGCAGGCTACTCATCCAAAATAGATAGTAGGTCAATGCAAGGTTGAAAATTGTAGAAGAGAAAAAAATAGCCATCACAAAAGACAATGTTGTCCACCATAATTTACCTTCAATCTTTGGTGCTACGTTACCCAGGGTCAATTTGTTGAACTTCAGGGAAGTAATTCCTGGTGGTCTGTAATCTTCAAGCAGAGGTTCAACAGAATCTCTTATAACCATAGTTGCTGCCTGGAAATTAGTCAACAGAACAATGAAAAGTTACACTCTTTGATGGCCAAGCTGCATTATGGCGAAGGGTTTTCTTGCATTCCAACAAACTGGACCTATCTTAGGTGTCGATTACACTAGGTTTGTGTACCAGCCAAACAGTTAGCTGTCTACGACTCTTTTCAGGATAAAATAAATCTCAACAGATTCTTCAAAAAATTAAGCTTTTCGAGAAGAACTTGACACTTGACAGTATAATGACTCTCCTCTTCCTATGATATCTTCAGTTACCATTATTCAGGGTACAAATGTTACTAATCTCATAGGCAACTTCCAACCATCTACACGGAAAAGAATGCACCTAATTAATATGATATCAAAAGAAAATTAGAATCTTACCTCTGCAATAAATGGCCACATCTTGCTCAGTAGTTTATTCATCCATTTGACCTGAAAAAATAAACTATAAGAAGTTGCAGTTTGAAAATTTTGGTTCAATTGCTGAGAAACCGAGTGTTTAAACTGTACTAGACTAGTTCAAAACCCAGACAGATAATATGTACGCAAAACCAAGTATTGTTGAATTCAAGCCAGGACTAGATTTCTCCAGTCCGAGTACTAATGCAAAAAAAATCTACATTTAAGTAGAAAACTCAACAACTTACAGAAATCATGTCGAACAGCAAAGTTGGCAAGATGAGCATGAACTAGAAAAGATAACTATGCAAGATGACGATAAGTACCTGTTCAAAGGCTGGAAACGAAATCCATTGTGGAAAGTTATCACCGCAAATTTTCTTCAAATCTTCTCTGCTAAGAGAGCCTAGAAGTTTCATATCAACTGCCTGCCAAAAGAAAAGCCTGTAAAGAGTCAGTTACACAGTAGTGGAGGCTAAGAAACACCTCTACTCGTGTCCGAACTTGAACACTATCAAGAGATACTAGTTAGAACGATATGTGTCCTCAAACTAAACAAGTAAAGCAAGCCATTTCACCTCTCAAATAGTAACATACAACACAGAAGCCAAGTAGAATCAACTTGGTACATTAATGATGTAAACAATTAGAAGTAGCAGAGGGATTGATTTTGGTAACGCACTTGAGCTAAATCCATGACTGAAACAACCAATCTAGCACAATCGCGAAGGATTTACAATCCGAGAACTGAAAATCTTAAACTATCACCGATGAATCAAAACCAAATCATTGAATTTCAATCAATATGTGAATAAGCAGATTTGATTTCAGAAACCCAAGGTCAAATCGAACCTTGGCGACTCGCTTAGACGTGCGGTGCGTCATCATACGACTCCAACCAGCCATTATAGCTACGCCGAAGATAACCCCGAATAGAATTCCAGAAATCAAACCCATTTTCCTGCAATCAAAACATTCACGAATCAACTCCAACGATCGATCAGGAACTCGAAGAAACCCTAGAAATCGAGCCCAGAAAAACGCAATCGGGACCCTTACGGAGACACCAAGATCGAAGGTTATCGGCGATAAGCGTCGGTAATAGTTTATTATCTTCACGGGATTGGTCAAGTGGGGAGAATCAGAACAAATTTTATGAGCGTATTCAAGTAATTTTGGTAGGCC